GGTTGGAAGCAGGGCGCTTCAAATTTAAGGACTTGAAGAAAAGTTCAAGCTGTTGATTTGTTCTCCACATGTGATCCCGGGACTCGGGAGGTGGTTCTAATGTTGCGTACTATCGGCGGAGCCACCATGACGGTGTTTCCTGTGTCTCAGGTGTTCGTGGTGTCGGAGGCGTACGGCTACAGTCCGGACTGGGCGGAGATTCTGTACCAGAAGGTCGTCCTGAACGGAGACTTCGGTTACCTGGAAGAGCTCAAACGCCACCGCCCGCTCACCTCCACCCTGTTTGAGGACATTTTCAAAAAGTAAGACTCCTACCACAGAAAAACGACCTGACAACAGCAAAAATTTGACGTGGACTGACCTGCAGTGTGTGTGTTTCAGGCTGGACGGCGCTCCCGGCAGCGTCACCTCCAACGTCAAGCGCCTGCTGACTTACTGCGACGACGTGTACAGCCGCTACAGGCTGGCGTACCAGCAGAACCTGCACGACATCACCAAGATGCTGCTGCAGGACGCCAAGACGTCGAGCTACCTGAGCGACAGGCTGGGCAGCTGATCGTTGCCTGGCCGCAGCATCGTCGTGATCAATAACCGCCAACGACAGGAAACACTGTGGATGTACAGGATGTGTTAGTAGAAAAATGCCGTGTGTCCTTCTCACCTGATGGATGATTTCTTTCTCACTGGGTGACCAGGATTTAGTTTCCTGGCTCATCGGTGGTTAAATAAGCACAAAGTCTTTGTAGAAACACATGAACGTGAACATTAAACATGCTCTTTCAACTACTTTGGGTGTTTCCTGTAACTCCAGCGTGTCCGTGTTCAGTAAGATCAGATAAATCTCGACTTTCACTCAGACATCTTTCACTACACTTAACTAAAAATGCTCCAGCAGCATAAACGCAGTGCATTTCATTACAGCCTCCTCTGCCACCATCCACCTGTCAGGCCACGCCCCTAATAATGCAAACCTTCAGCATAAACACCATTCAGACCGCTGACTCACCACCGCACAGTTATGAAGAGAGGAGCTACCCACAGAGGCCAGAGCTGTCTCGACCAGGGGCCTGGCTCGCTGCTGGAGCCCCTAGTGGACATTAGAGGAACTGCAGCTTTTAGCACTTTAGCATTGGCTTCATTTTTCAGTTCTGGAAACTGAGTGAATAACTTCAAAAAGGAGACATGCATGACATCTCACAGTCCCCACTGCATACCATGTCTCTGTAGAGGAATAGAAAATAGAGGTGGTGCACAGGTGAGGCCAGGTGGAGTAAGGCCCAGAGTCACAGGGATGTTAAATGAGTGTGAAATGAGAAAAGTCTGGAACCCAGCTGGCTCCACGGCAGTGAAACAGCCTGAAATTTCAGGATGTTTTTGCCTGCAGCTCCTCGCAAACGGTCGTGAGAGGCAGTTCTCTCTTCCTCCACTAGGTGGCAGTCCAGGCCTGTGTAATGATCAGCTGTTTCAGCTCCTCGTGTCATTTCCTTTGAATGTGTTACAGCATTTGTGCTCATCTCTGCTGTAGGCAGAGCTGGTAATAAGCTGCAGAGTGCACCGAGCCTGCTGAGCTGAGGATGCTGGGATTAAAAACATCTGCGCAAAACTCAAATATTACCAGAAATATTACCAATAATCAGTGTTTCAGTGTCTTACTGTTAACTGGCTGCATACAGCTTGATCCAGGGGATTTACCTAGACCAATGATAAACTTTCATATCTTCACAGTCTGTGCCCAGCTGGGTGATTATTTAAAGAGGAATGGGTTTCTTTTATTTAAAGTTCAGAAACAGCAGCAGAGAAGTTCATTACTGACAGGAGAGTCACCTCTGCACCGAGCGAAACCCCGACACGGGGATCAAAACAAAGATTACAACACGGAGCTGGTGTTAAAGGGAACGAAAACTGAAGGCTCTGCCTCCCATTCTACTTTTAAATACTCTAGGAACAACAAGTAGGCCTGCAGAGCGAGAGCGAAGTGCTCTAATAGGGTGATATGGTACTACAAGGTCATTAAGATAAGATGGGGCCTGATTATTTAAGACCTTGTATGTGAGGAGCAGGATTTTGAATTCTGGATTTAACAGGAAGCCAATGAATGACATCCTGATAATAATGAATTATAGTATTGGGGGAAACCTGTATAATAAAAAGTCCCATCACAGAGCCCTGAGGAATGACTAAGTCTTTGTCTCCATGCGTAAAGCTTCTCGTTGTGTGACAGCAGCGATGGATCTGTCAGGGCTGACTAAACTCAAACAGACTCAGGAAAATCATCCTGGCCACAGTTTGGCTTTAGTTTGGCAGACGTCGCTCTTCTCTCTGTGCCAGCCACTGTCTTTAATGGAGAGAGTCATTAAGAAAGCGAGCTAATTATTCAGCCCTCATTAGGAAATTAATCAGGAGTTTGTATCACGCTCAGCTGAGCGGAGAAACGCCTTCACGCTGGGGACTCGACTCTTTATTCAGAGTTTCCATGACAGTAAACAAAATGTTGACATGCTGAAATTTAAAATGACTTTTAATAAAAGGCAGTTCGTGTGCAGTACCGCTAACAGCCACTAGATGCTGGCTGTAAAACCCAGGGTTTAAATATGTTTGAAGTCCTTCACACGTGTCCATGTGTGAGGAGTGTAATCTTTAATGCCATGCAGTGCAGACAAAGGACACCTTGTGCTTACATGTGAGAAGCTGGCAGGATGTAGTTGGTGCTCCTGCACCACCGTCAGTCCTCATGGATCTTAACATCCTCCAGCTGTCAAAGGTTACGGTTCAGTTAGACTAGATGAGAAGTAAAAATCATTGCATTGAATTTATTTTACTGGCGGTTGTTCAGAAGTTCAGCATGCAACACCCCCAGCCTGTGGATGTCACCTTTGTGGGAGTCCGTCTGCACAGATGTGTGCAGAACCTGTCTTTGCAACAGAGGCTGAACTGGTTGGCAGCTGGTTTCTAGTGATTTTCCTATTTAAAAGCAGATTTCTAATCGAGGTCTGAGCAGTTAATGTGAATCTCCGTATAAAAGGACAACAACAGATTTGAGATTGTTTGCTTATTCATCACAGATAATTACTGTATTATCACAAAGAGATTTCATATGAAGCTGAAAGCAGACGGGTGTGTTGTTGCCAGAGCTGCAGCTGACTGTGAGTGGTTGCAGACGAGTCTTTGAGGGAACCATTTCCAAGGCAACGAGACCCCAAGTTCCCTGCACACAGCCGCAATAATAATCTTTATTTACAGCAGGGTCGTCAGCCACCGCGGGCTGCTTGAATCACATCCATAATTTTAGCTCCTCCCCTTTTAGGTCAAGATTTGAACACCAGTTTGGTGACGCTGCCGAGTACCTGAAAGGACCAGGCTCTTTATGACATCACACAGATCCAAAAGAGAAAAACTGTGAGAAAGTGAGGGTCTGCAGCTTTGGTTCTGACTTTGAGTACTTGTACGTAGCCTGATGCACTTATTTGAAACTTTCACGATATTTAAGCTGAGCATCGTCCACAGGAACAGGAGATCTATGACAGGAAGTAAAGGAAAGCGACATATTTGAACTCGGCTGTGACTTTGTTCCTCCAGGCGTCTCTTTAAGCATCTCTCAGTTTTCGTGTCTGTGATGGCGCTGCAGTCAGAAGTGTGAATGGACTCTGCAGGTGACCTCGGGCTGTCAGTCCCTGAGACTTGGTTTCAGTGAGGTGTGACAGCTGAGCGATGAAGAGTCCAGCTCACGGCTGGGAGGTGTCGCTGCACCGTTCAGCCACAACACTGAATGTTATTTATTATGTGCTGATTTGAGGAGAAGTAGCCATCGTCCCTCATTGTTCCATCGCTGAGTGTAACGTCCACTCCCTGACAGCAAACAGAGCAGACAGTTGGTGTTTTCAGCTTTGAAAGCTTCACCTTTACTCCTCCAAACATGCATCTTGTCTCTGGTGTTTCTGCAGTTTCCTGTTCATGGCGAGCTTGATCCTGGTTGGTTCCTGAACATCATAACTGCTTTCCTCTCATTTCACAGTGACAGGGCTGGACTTCTTCCAGACCTCGGCAAAGGGACGCGACATCAGAAGAACCTGTAGTTGTGTAAATCTGCACTTCTCCTTCACTGAGTTGGGTGGACTTTGTTCGGAGTGCCGGTCAATCCAACGAGTGCTGTCACACGAATGAATTGTTATTAAAAGATTTGAGTGAGTGTAGATGAAGCTGTGTGATGCTTTTGTGTGGACAAAAGTCCAAATACACATCAGAACTGGTTTTGGTGTGGACGACGCAGCTTCAGAGTGTCTTTGAATGTGGTCCATCCCAGGAAACCAAGCAATTTAAATCAAGTCCACCAGTTTTGCCAAGAGGAGCAGTCAGATATCAGCCTGAGTTCATGTTCATAGCTGCGACAACACTGTGCTCGAGGCCCAGCCTGCTCAGAGACATTTCTACAAATATGAACGATAAGATAAGATAAATAAGATAGATAAGATACCTTATTAGTCCCACTGGAATTTTTTGTCACAGCAGAAGTGACAGTGCAAAATTATGACCAAAATAGAATACAATAAAAAATACAGTACAATGTACAAATAGAATAAAATAAATACATAGAATAAATATATCTGAGCCTGCATCCACCCTGGGAAAACAACAGTGCAAAGACATGATTAAAAGCCCAACATTACCAGCATGCATGCCTGAGATGAGGGGATGGAAACTTCTGACTACAACTGTATCTCCAATCGATGACATCATACAGATCCCAGATAACAAAAAGAAAAAAAACCACTACAAACTGGTAAACATCCAGCAGTGGATGAAGGTGTGTTGTTCTGTAAAGCTCAGTTTTATGACTGTTTCTACGTTTCTGTCCTCACATGTGCACACACACACTCACAGACCTCTCTCTCTCCTCGGTGTCTCCGGCTGCTGAATCTACTCCTTTGGATGCTTTTTGGGGGGAGGAGCAACCCCGTCTCCTCTCAGAGCGAACCCTCTGTTGATTCTCGTTCTCTCCGTGTTTGCCGTCGGTTCAGGAGGAACTCCGCTCAGCTTCTCTGAGACTCGCTGCTGATGATGGACGCTCGCGTCTTCACCCCGCTCATCCTGACGCTGTGCAGCTTCATCCACGGTAGGCACACACACACACACACACACACACACACACCACACACACACACACACACACACACACACACACAGGTCGTCTATGGCTGTGAGGACACTTATACTTATCTGGATTAAGAATTGTAACCTGTGGACTAAAACCAGCTCTCCAGCTTTAAACTGCATCTTGATGCACATGCAGACATTTCAAAGATGCGTTTTTCAAACAGAAAGTGAATAAGAAGTTGATTTGATTAGAATAAACGTTTAACAACAAATGCTGTGATCAGATTTTGCTTCTGTCACATTTTATGTCTTTGGAGTGAATCAAAAACAGAACTTTAATCTGCAGATTAAATAAGAAGTTTGATTCTGTGCGTGCGGCGTCCTGCTGTTTGCTGAGGGAGAATCAGTGGGAGGTGATCCTCGTGCAGTCCAGGTGTAAGGGAGGAAAAAGGAAGAAGAAGAATTTTGCATCTGTGCATTAACATTTCCACGGGTGGGTGTGTCAAACATGCAACCCGCGGGCCAGAACCAGGCCGTCAAAGGGTCCAGTCTGGGCCACCGCGAGTCTTTGGGAACATTTCACAGGAGAAGGGCGCAAAGCTGGACCTCTCACTGTATCTTCATCAGATTTATGCTCCTCTTCCTGACACCATCCACGCTCAGCCACGTGTCACAGTACAGTGCAGCAGAGTTTTCCTGGGTTCACTCAAGAAGAAACAGTAGATTTTCTGCGATGCTTGTGGGTTGTGTTTAGTCACATTCATTTGAGTCGGCTGTGTTTCCGCTCCCCTCGTCTCCTCTCTGTGGATTTAGTGTGGGAGTTTTCCGTCAGTCGTTGTCGGGTCTTCTGTTGTGTTTGTTTCCCAGCGTACGTGTTTCCTGTGTTCAGGTCTTTTTCATGTTCTTTGTCCCGTTTAGTATCTATTTTCTCCCAGTTTCGTTCCAGTTCAGTTTAGCTTTAGTAGTCTTTGTTTGTACCTTCCCCCAGCCTAATAAACGACTCGCCTGTTGTTAAACCCCGCCCCCGTCTCGAGTGTCACTGCAATCTTTTTTCTTATCAGACATCTCAAGGATTAAATGTGCAGTTAAACTTTTATGCACTCAGAGTAAGGATGTTTTGTTTTTTTACTGGGTTATTAGCAGTGTTGGTCAAGTTACTTGAAAAAAGTAATCAGTAACTAATTACTGATTACTTCCTCAAAAAATAATCCCGTTACTTTACTGATTACTTATTTTCAAAAGTAATTAATTATTTAGTTACTTAGTTACTTAGTTACTTTTTAAAAACACGATTTACAACCTGAATAGGTGATAAATAGATCTTTCAGCACAATTCTACTTTTTCTGCATAATCCATCATACAAAATGTAATCAAATGGAAAAGTCTCTTTTTAAAACTTGTTTTATTAGTTTTAATCTTTTAACTTTACGCATGAAGCAAAAATTTAATTATCTGCAACATTCTCTGACTGGAAGAAATTAGTTTAACATTTAAACCTATTTTCTGCACATTCCAGCACATAAAATAAAATATTTTTTGTGTTTACACTCACTCTTTCAAATAGATGCAAGTAAAACACAGCAGAAAATAAATAAAGTCAAAGACTCAGCGGTCCTGTTGCTCTATTTTCACCTGTACAGCAGGAGTGCGGTAGGCGGAGGTTTACCCTGGTGCAGGTGTGCCGCGGTCAGTGGAAGAATCCGCGAGTTTCTCTGTGAGTTTCCCATTACGTCGTAGCTACTCGGTGCTTGTTGGAAGTTTAGGGGTTTTTTCGCTGTAAAAAGAAGTTTTCTTCCCACGCACAGCGGACACTAATGTTTTTGTCACTTTTTATGGAATCAAACTCAAAGTAAGGTCAGTACTTCCACACTTTTAACGCTGCACGCTCATACTCTCTCTGCACTCGATATATGATCCACTGTTGATCTGCACACAGCTGTTGTCACGAACGTCGCACTTGCTTACGTCATGTCGTGAGACATTCTCGCAAAAATCACGGTTTTAGTAACGCAGTAACGCAGCGCTCCTACGGGAAAGTAACGGTAATCTAATTACCGTTTTTGCAATAGTAATCCCTTACTTTACTCGTTACTTGAAAAAAGTAATCGGATTACAGTAACGCGTTACTGCCCATCTCTGGTTATTAGGCAGATGTTTGACTGGTCCAGTGGAGATTAAACGGGGCCGTGTTATCAGGTTTTCATGATTCATGTCAGATTAAACTGGTAGCAGTGTTCACTTATCTGTCAACGTATTTTTTCTGTGGGATTATTTTTAATGTAATCTCGTAGAAGAGATTAAAAAAGTCACCAGTTCATATCTGGATTGTTTGTATCAACTCTTTCAGGTTTACAGTTTCTCTATTAGCCTGCATATTATCACAGATCTTTATTATGAACATCGTCTGTTCACACCGTCTGTGGACGTCTTCAGCCTGCTGCAGGTTTCAGGCTTCAGATTATTCGCTGCTGGAGGAGCTCGTTTGCATAAAACCGGGGTCATAAATGTCTTCTTAGAAAAAGACGTTTTGAACTACTTCACGTCTCTGTGCTGATTCTGGTATTTACGCTGTGAAATCAGCTCTGAGGTTCAGTTTAAGGTTTAAAGACGTCTTCTTCAGCAGCTGCCGCTTTAAATCTTTTGAAATGTTATTTCCCCAAAGGAAATGTTGACCTTTCACAGCTGTTCAAATAACTCAGCCAATTAAATCATGTTTTCTTGGTCGTTTCCTAAGAAGAATAAGCATTTTTTAAAGCTAATAAAACATCTTTTGTTCCCGTTAGTGAGCGTCTGTGGGGCGTCCTTGCGGCGCCTCACTGTTGAACCGTGTCTCCCACCTTCTCTTAAAGACGTTTGAAGGTTCGAGGGTTATCGTGCAGGCAGTCACAGCTCTGAGATCAGTGCGAAACACACAAAGAGCCCAGAAGCTTCACGTCTTCACAGAAGTGTTCGGTTTGACTCAGACACCACCACACTCAGAGTGGGTGGTGTTTTTACAGTGTTTATTTCACAGCACGCGGAGTCACTGAGCAGCTTCTCCCTTTAAATCTGATCTCCACTCATCACAGCAGCTCTCACCACCATCCTGAAACCTCCCCTTTCTCTTCTGCTGCTCTCCTTCTGTTACAAATCAGCCCTGACACTCATCTCCACCCGCTCCACCCTGCCTGCACTCACTTCTTCATCTCTATCTGGATGGTTGACTCCAGGCATTAAACTCCTGCAGCGACACTATCTCTGTGTTGCACCGCTCCACCTCTCATTCACACATGGTCCCTTTTCCTTTTACGGACTTTCATTCCTCTTCTCTCCCCAGCATACCTCCACCTCTCCAGGCTCTCCTCCACCTGTTCCTCTTTCTCGACCTCATCTGTCAGCGCTGCAAACAGGAAGGAGCTCAGAGCAGATCCCTGATGTACTCCCACCTTCAACCCACCTGTCTCTCCTACCACACACGTAATCATGCACCTGCTTTCCTCATCATCCTCCAACTCTCCAAAATCATCGTTAACAGTCTGGTTAAAGTCCACCGCCCCCTCTCCTGGACATCTCCACACCTCCACATGTATGTCACCACCGTCCCACTCGTCATAGCTGCCCTCTCTTCATCATTATTACTCCTCCACCCGTCCTCTCACTCTCATTTTCTATTCATGAGCTGCTCAGTACTCCTTCCATCTCCTCCACAGACTCGCTTCCTATATCATAATCTGGGATTTTGCAGAATCTCTGTTTGTTGTTCAACGGTTGGCTGAGACTCAGATTCCGTCCTTTGTCTTTAATGAATGCATGTGGCGCAGCAGCATTAGCTTCCTGAATGCACCGACTCTTCACGCATTCTGCATTTACACATGCTGCAGGTCAGCTGTTATATGCAGATTTCTGAAAACCACCCCTGTCTCTCAACACGTGCCCCACCCTCCAGTACCCCGAGCAGACTGATGGAGGACGCCTGCCTTACATCAGAGCACTTAAGGAAATCCCCAATCACAACATACTTCAGATAAAAGGGTGAAAAAACGGTGTTTTTACAGCAGTCTGCAGCTTTTGGCTCACTGTGCAGACACTGAGCTCATCATCTGAAGCTTTGGTCATGTTTGATATGAACATGCACACCTGGAACAGGAGAAATATGCCAAAAAACAAAGGAAAAGAACTGGTTTGGTACATGCAGCGTGCAGGGTTGGGGTGCCACCGCTGGAACAGCATGAAAGGCTTTTATTGGAGCAGTCTGACACATTTACATATCAGCTTCACTCACATCAGCTCTCCTACACAACATTGCATCAGTCACGTGACTGGGTAGACTCCATATTTGTGTTTCACATGTTTATGAGTGTCAGAGTTAGCTGTGTCGCTGACTCGGGCAGCAGGAATCGAGCTCAAAGTGAGCGTTTAATGCAGGTTAATGAGGAGAACGTACAAAAGCTCAAGACACGAAGAGCGAGGCTGGGAATGCAAAATCAGAGAGCGATACACCGATCAGCCTTAACACGCTGACGGGTGGAGTGAATGACACCGATCTGCATCCTGGCACCTGTTAGTGGGTGGGACATGTCAGGAAACAAGAACCTGTAAAATGATGGGAGAAGCAGGAGAAATGGGTCAGTGTGACAGTTTGGGTCAGAACATGTAGAAAACTGCAGATTTGTCTCCAGTCTGCACGAGTCCAACAAACGAGCTGCTGTAGCTCAAACTGTCCATGTTAGGTGGTTCTGATGGAAAGGTGTCAGGATGCACAGAGCACCAGTTTAATGCATATGGGGCTGCAGACCAGTCAGGGTGGGCGTGCTGACCATCAGAACTAAAGCACAGAACAATGGAAGAAGGTGGCCTGGTCCAAATCACGTTTTTTACATCACCAAGGCTGGATGGATGCGTGTGCGCCACTTTTCTGGGGAACACTCGACAATGGGATGCATTATGGGAAGACGGTGAGCCAGAGGAAGCAGCAGCGTGATGCTTTGGGCGATGGAAACAGTGCTCCCTGATGGCTGTGGTCTCTTTCAGCAGGATAATGCACTGGAAGCAGGAATGTTTCCAGAATGGTTTGAGGAGCACAACAACCAGCTTGAGGTGTTGACTTGGCCTCCAGATTCCCCAGAATCACGTTCTGGACAAACGGATCCGTCAGGACGCTCTGTGCATCCTGACACCTTTCCATCAGAGCTGCAGGGTCCGTGCCTCCACGGGTCAGGTGGAGACAACATAAAGAGACACGGGGAACGTTTAACTTCACATGAGGCATTGATAGCAGCCGCTATCAAAGTAAAACAGGAAGTAAGACACAACTGAATGAGGATAAACAAGATTAACGTGACACAGGAGACATCACAGACAAAAACACAGCGTTGGTAACAGTAACTACAACCAAGAACAAAAGACTCAAACAACAAGATGAGAATATAAACCATGAAGAGAAATTATATTAGAAGATAGAGCAGGCGTGAAAGCGCGGGGGAAATAGAAACAACAGTTCTATTAATAGAAACCTGCAGACTGACCCACAGAAACAGCTTCAAATGCAGGACTGAAGTAACAGACTGGACTACAGACTAAAACTTATAATACACCCGAGGATCAGAAGTCCAGATAAAAGTAAAACGTTTGACTGCAGAAGCTGCAGCATCACTGTAACAGTCACAGCTCTGCACTTCTTCATGTTGACAGTAAATAAAATAATTTCATTTTCACTTACATTCATTCAGAAATTCAGATCCCTTCATTTGTTAACTTCTACCAGCGTTTGGGTTTTTTAGTTGAGCAGTCAGAGCACGAAACGCAGACAAAGGATCAGAAAATATTTCTGTTATCTGGAGCTCATTTCCTGACAGTCAGCCCCTCCCCCCACGCTCGGCCAAGGTCTCACCGAGCACCTGTCAGTCATCCGGATGAGCTTTCATCTCCACCAAGGCTGATGTAATCCGTCTCCTCGAAGCCTTCCAGACCCCCGGTCTCTGAGCGACTCTGGGCTGCCTCAGATGAAAGGTGACAAAAGGAAGAGAAATGCGGTGAAATCGATGTTTGTCAGACCAGACGTGGGTCACAGATCTCACCCGATGGCAGATTCAGAGCTCTGCACACTTCAAGCAGCCGCTCAGTTGCATCGGCCAATCAAGAGGCACCGCTAACGACCTGCCAACACTCCCAGCGTTACAGCACTTCAGTCGTACAAAACAGATAATGAACAGAACAAATGTAGTGCTGGGAAAGTTTTCTCACATTTCTCACATATTTGTCAGACTTTCATGTCTCAGATCATCAAACTCATTTTTATATTTTACAAAAACCTGGAACAGAGTGAGCGATGTAGTCAAAGCAACCTCGGAGTCCAGGAGGAAACTCTGGACTGGCAGGATGGGGATGGTGGAGAGTCTGGGCAGCTCCACAGAATACTTTAGTGGTTCTCAGCTGTAAACTGGGAGAGAAAGCCTGTGTTAGCGTCAGTGGTTTAACCGGCTCCACCTCAGTTAAACTGTTGGAGCGGTCATGCGTGCTGACGACAGTCGTTCCTGTTTCCCTCCAGGCTCTCTGCAGGGCGTGTACCAGCGGCGTCTCTACAAGGAGCTGATGAAGAACTACAACCCGTTAGAGCGGCCGGTCAGCAATGACTCCCACAGCCTGACCGTCCACTTCAGCTTCAGCCTGCTGCAGATCATGGACGTGGTAAGAACTGTTGCTTCAGTATGAACTGTTAATAATCCCTATTATTACGGCATCTGTGTGTGAGATCAGAGACTAGATGACTTCATACAGGACCAAGAAAGAAATGCTTAAAGGGGATCTTTAGAAGAGTGTGAGCTACTGGTGCATGTACTGGTGCATGTACTGGTGCACATGTTGTACCAATAATAACATTAACTGATATGTAAACATCAGTGTAATCACAGCTTCCTCGTCGTCTGTTGCTTCCTGTTTGTATTGTAGCATCTGAGCTGCGTTAGATAAACTTCACAGGTGCCTCCTCACTGTAACTATGACTGCAGGTCTTACTGGGAACCAGTGTGAATTCATAAAGTTAAATAAATCAAATAAATGAAGGATGATTGTGACTAAGGGCAACATATGACATATCATATGATAACCATGCAATGAAGATCTGGTATTGTGATCTTCTAATGCTATCATGAACACTTTAACCAGGATATGAGGGAGGGAAAGAGGGAAAGCAGGAGCAGAAATATCCAGATAACATCTGTGTTTGCACTGAATGTTTTGCTGTGTAGAGTTGAATGAATAAACTCAGACGGGTCGCCGACACGCTGCAGTCTGCACAGACGAGCAGCTCCGCTGCAGTGCTCTTTGCAGCAGCTTGTTCCCAGCTGACCGCCCTGCAGCAGCTACGTCACCGTGGAGGAATTTAAAGTGAATTTCTGCTTTTGCTGAGAAGAAAAATCCATTTTTTGCACATTTATTACAGTTAATTGTGTATTATCACAAACAGATTGCATATAACTGCCAACTTGACTCCACTCAGTGGCAGACTGGCTGAACCTTGTTGTCCACAGCCACAATGATTTTGGTGGAGCTGCATCTGAGACGCACCTCAGATTACTGCTTTTCTGCTTTTCACACAAACAAACTTCAGAAGCTCCCAGTCCTCGACCGTTTCTGCGGGTTCAGAGTGGACGTTTGCTCCAATTAGCCCGACTTCAGGGATGAACTTTCCTGCTGCGCGGCCCGACCGTGAGGCTGAGACATAAACTCAAACAAACGGATGCTGTGAGGAACTAAACGAGCTCAGCTCATTCGTTTCTACCTCACGCACATCTTACAGCCAGTTTAACAAACACTCGCTCTGCACCCTGCTAGCAGCCACAGCAGGAGGCAACTTTCATCTTTCATCTATCATGGCATGTGACACGCACACACACATCAATTATTAGACATGTCAGAGTCCTGGCTGCAGAACTTTATTCAACCACAGTGCAGGGCAGCTAACACACACACACTCTTTCTAAAACTGCCTTTTGTCTCCGATGTGCAGTGAGTGTGTGTTTCATGGGTCTGCTCTCGTGTCTGTGTGTGTTTGTGCACACAGAGGAGATGCGATCGTGCTCCACCTGCAGCAGCTCCACCTTCATATGGACCCAGGCGTGGCCTCGGTGCTGTTCTGCATGTGTGAGGGTTTTGGATTGAGTGATTGTGGAGAGCGCCCCCCACAGTGTCTCTCATCGCTCCCGCCTCCTTCTGTCTGAATTTATGGGGGCGCCACAGTCCCACGGAGAAACAAGTTACTCATGAAACCTGAATCGGACCTAAATCTCTCACCGTGACAAAGTATAGCTTATTTTTACACAACGTTGGTATTTACATGAACTTTAAATTCACTTCCTGTCAGTGTGGGTTTTGGAGCAGGGAGCGCCAGCAGAGGCTCGGACAGAGTGGGGGGGAGGTCGGGTGAGGAGGGAGAAAGCAGCCGGCTCGTTTCAGGAATCGAACCAGTCGTAATAGTTTAGTTTTTTATCATCTTTAACGATTGTTGTTGAAGGAGCTACTTGTTTTCATTTTGATGTATTGCTTCTTTAATGTTTTCTATTTTCTTTACTTCAGGAAGATTAGCTGTTGCCATGGTAACAAGTGATGTGGATCAGAATAAGGAACAAATGTAAGAAATACTGTTTAAATCTGAGTCTAACAGCACGTAAACGTTCAGAAGTAGCAAGAGTTCACAAACAGCTCCCCGTTAGCAGGAACACGCTAATTAGCTAAAGGGGTGACGAAGGCGTTCCACAGCACACGGCGAGGGAAACGTATTTTTGGGTGGGCTTGATGAGGTTCTTAATCAATATAAATGACTCAGCGTGAAGTTGGCAGGAAGCCGAGCGTTTAATTACCTGATGTCATGATTTCTCACTTCTGCAGCTTCATCTGAAGCGAATCTGTCGTTTCAAATATCTGCTTTGGTTTTGTTAGGAGGATTTTCCAGCATCACTTCTGTCTGCGTGCCGCTGCATCGCTGGCAGCAACCATCCCGGCAGCAACCATCCCGGCACGGTGCTTTTCCACCCCGAAGGTGAAAGGTGCCGTTTCCCTTGGCGACGTGTTTGATAGAAAGTTACAGACTTGAGGGTTTGACTCAAGTTTAACAGGAAAACATCCAAAATCCTAAGTTTGAACTTGTTTTTGGGTTCTTGATCTCCCCATAGCACCAGGATGTAACCGAAATATGGACCCAGCAGTCTCATCACGTAGACAGCTCAACATTCACTGCCCCACATAGCAAGCTGGTCTGGCCCAGATCTGGTGTCAAGCCAGCACTGCTGGCTGACTGGTGTCATGGCAGAGTCTATGTCAACCAGATGTGGGCCAGGTCTGGCAATGATGGCACTGTTTATGTTCCTATTTTCCTATTTCAGTTAGTAGACCTCAATGCCATGTTGCAATACTATACTGCTGTGGTAGCCAACGTTTCAAATGCAGGTTTTGCAGGTTTGTGAGTGCACACTTTATCGAAAACCTAGTTTACTCATTGTTACCACTGGGTGGCTGTAGCGCAGGAGGTAGAGCGGGTCACCTGCTGATCAGAAGGTTAGTGGTTCAAACTAGAGATGGCACGATACCACTTTTTTATGTCCGATACCGATATCATAAATTTGGATATCTGCCGATACCGATATGAATCCGATATAGTGTGTTTTAATCAACAAAACTGTTTTTTTAAATATTTTGCTGCATTTTGTATAAGTTCATACTCAAGTTTAAAACAACAACTACACTAAAGCTATTCTGTTATACCTGTATGCAAAAAAAATGTTTCATAGTTCGGCAATACTGATCAATCTAATAAACTTAAACCTACACCATCCTCCCTATTCTGGTATTTTAAAGAGTACTTAGCATAAATATTAAGCAACCTAACTAATAGGGTTCCAACTCCCAGCAACAACAAAAATAAATAAATAAAAAATAGGGAACCACCCCTCACGCTCCACCTCATGATGCTTAATCGACGTAATCAACCTTAATTTGATGCAGTGTGAAAAAAAAATGCACAGAAATCAATTATTTTTCAAGAAATATTAAATAGATTCAACATCTTTCTTCAACAAAATTGCAGACTGCACAGATGGTACCTTCCCAAAGGAAAAAGTACTATAGCTTACTAGGGTATATATATTACCGTAGACTTAACAGTTACTATATACAGTAATGGACTTCTATTCCTTTTACATCAAATTAAAACTTTGGGTGTCAGATAATTATTTATTAAAAGCTCGACATTTTAAATGAGAATAAAGAAAAGTATGTCTTTGTGCCCCCTTTTCCCAGTTAATGCCCTATCGGCCCCCTGGCTAAACTTTGCTAGGTCCGCCCCTGCACAGTTACCAGCCGTCAGCTACGTAGAAAAAGATCCTGGAGTAGAAAGTAATATTAGATAAATTCTAACAACAGCTTATCAAGCTTAAACGTGCTGCTGTTGTTCAGCCGCTGGTTTCCTCTTTCTGGTGCAAAGTGGGCCAAAAACAAACTAGAGACACGGACTCCCGACAGAAAAGCCGATCAGCTGATCGTTAAGCAGTTGATTGAAGTAGCAGCAAGAAGAGGCAGTCGCTTGTTAAGCTTAACGCAGGAATGCTTTACAAACATTCAGAGATGGACTTACACACTTGCTTTATTTCTCTCGGGGATAACTTTGTCGGAGATGAAATGCCAGGTTGCTAGCGAAGCTCCACATGCTATCCAGACCACCGACAGGTCCCGCATGCCACAGCCGCTCTATCACGTGATGCATACTGCTCCGACGTGCTAACGTTCTGAGCAGAGTTACGGCGTGTTGCAAGTTTTGTGAGGTGCTTTCGTGATATTTAATGGATCGGATTACATTTTTTATTTTTCTCCGATATCCGATCCAGTAATTTAGGTCAGTATCGGACCGATACCGATACGTAATATCGGATCGGTCCATCTCTAGTTCAATCCCTGACTGCTCCAGTCTGCATGTCAAGAGTGAGAATGTGTATGAATGTAGTTAGAGCACTCAGCTTAGAGAAAGTGTGTGAATGTGGCATGTTGTAACCCGGGAGAGAAGAAAAGTGCTGTATAAGAATCAGTGTCTGAGTTTCGTCATGTTACTTCTGCATTATTATGTCCCGGCGCATTTTGTTATTACATGGCTTGATTAAGGTACATATCAAGCTGACATCTGGGGCCAGAGCTGAAACTGTTCTGGGCCAACACAGGGCCTTGTGCTGACCCATGTGTGGGCCAGATCTGGGCCACCAAAGGGCCGTCATTCTTTGCGGTATGTGGGCCATGTGTAAGCACATTGTGTGGGCCAGATCCAGGCCATACCAATTTTGCTATGTGGGGCAAAACACCATTTTCCTTTAATCACCCACTAAAGTATCTCTGTGTTCATCTGTTGCTTTATCTGCTGGTTTCTCCTCGACTCCAGTCCTCATCCACTCCTAACATCATTTATTTCTTCGTGGTACCATTCATCAGACACTTTCCTCCGTCTCAGCCCATCTGAGCTCGCCTGATCAGTCTGCATCCATTTTTAAAAGACTTCATCTTTCCTCTGGGAAACGCGGTTTCGTTCGTAACATTAGGATCCTTTCTCAGCGCTCATTCATCACCACATATTAATACGAGATAACGACACAGTATCAGATTCAGCTGAGCACAGGAGCAGCTTTTGATCTCCTGCAGCCTTTTTACAGATTTAAGATGCTGCAGGGTTGGATATCAGGTTGTTCATTTATCGTCTGTACTCTGCTGAATCTTTTTGTTGGATACCAGCAGGACCTCCACCTGCCTCCATCTTCCTGACATCAACATTCACACACAGTAAGAGCAGTAATCTCTATAAAAACTCGTTTTCATTCAGTCTTTTCAACTCTTGGTTCTGGGCGATGGGATAAAGTGCCATCCTACCTGCTGTTTAAATATTTTATATGTGAGGGGCAGCCTATCAGAGGAGTGGGAGGAGCTAAAGCAGCCAGCCTCAGTACTTACTTTACTGTCCAGGATTACAGGATGGACTGTTTGCTGATGACCTGATGGTTAAGTTTATCATTTAGCTGTATAATATATATAATACTATGTACGTCTTCGGCTCGTGATCGTCTCTCATCCCCCACCCCTCCCCACCCCCCTCCACTGTGATTTTTGGGCTTCATCAGCTCGTATCATCTCATCAGCTGCTGAGCACCATTTCACAGCTGCTGCCGTTTTGCCCCATTGCTCCCGAGTTTTATATCCACACTGGTGGGTTTTCCTTCTGGCTGACTGGTCGGTCTGGTCTGTGAGTCACAGGTGAGATTGAGGCTGAGAAAAGGGCAACCCTGGTTTCTCCGTCAGGCTGCTGCTACTGTGGCTTTTCTCCTTACTGTATGAGAGTACCTGGTTTTCTTTTATAGAATAGCACTTTATTTTCATTGTACATGTACAATGAAATGGTGGGTGACCACACCCACTGGGCTGGAATTAAATATAAAGAGTAGACAGCAGGAAAACAGGATATATAGACAAACATAAGAGAGAGGTGCACATTAGAGAACAGTTTCAAAGTGCTTGAAAGAAGCGCAAAAGGACTGGACAGAGTCTGTGTGAGTGTGCTATGTGCCCCACCCAGAGCCTCCGGGGGGGGCAAAGTCAGTGTTTTGGATGGTGTTAATGACCCTCTGTGCAGCCTTCCTGCTCTCGGTCGTGGCCCCTGAGTACAAACTCCAGGCAGGAGGAGAGCACGCTCTCCACTGAGGAGCTGTAGATGTTACTCTTCCTCAGGAGACGGAGGAAGTGCAGCAGCTGCTGGGCCTTCGTTACCAGGGCGATGGTGTTGTGGGTCCAGGTGACATCAGCACAGATTGATGGATTTTTAAAAACGTATAATTAACCTATTAAAAAGACATACGAGTGGGTTTGCAGTTTATGGAAGCTACCATGTTCCTGTGCTTTATCGTCAGAGAAACTGTTCTCAGCATCAAAGAAATGAAAACCCAAAGGAAAGCGACGACGCCACGGGCACTTTACAGCCTCATCCAGAGTAAATGGAGTCGAGGTAAACAGAGGTTTGTTCTATGACTGCCATCGTAGCGAGGATTATACAGCTGGAGTAAGAAAACAGGATACGTTTGACTGCAATCTGCACTCTACGGACAAATACCTGCGATTACATTTACAACTGTAACTGTAACCAAACACGAGCTTTTCCTGATCCAAACCAAACAACTAGCATAGCAATAACTGAACAAGCAGTTTTCTTAGAATCAGTTATCAACCAGTTATAAACGTTATCATTTCATAGTTTAATGGCAGATAACTTCTACCTTTAGCTATAAATTACACAAGTTTTCTAGTTTTCTTGGCTCATTGCTGCAGGCTTTTCAGCAGGAGCATAGTGAGAGCGATTGTGTAACCACTGCAGGCGTCCTGCAGATCCTGGGAGGAAGTTTTGGCTTCTTTTCATATCAAACAATCTGCTCTCCAGGTGCATTTCCTGCTCTAATATATGGTTTCCTGGTGCAAGAAAGAACTTGTCTGACCTTTAAATGTAGGCGTTCTTTCAAAGAGGTTTATTTGTTCAAGCATACTCTTTGTTTTTCATGTGGCTGCAGTCAGCTTAGCATACAGATAATACTCGTTAGTAACTGGAGGTCAGTCCTTAAACTTTTAATATTCTTTCCTCTGTAGACTCTCCCTCCTCCAACGTGCCGGCCACTTGCTTACATCCTCATCTTTTAATTCTTTCAGTACGCTCGGCTGCCTGAGAATGTATTAACAGGCTGGACATTCATCAAAGTGACATTATTCGCATTCATCCTCCCCTCTGCCGGCGCTCCACATGTTTAAGATTAATTTACAGGGACGAAGGAAACGCTGGAGAATAGACTGTCTTTTAACCGTGACTGCAGAGGAGTGTTCAGTCATATGCAAACAACAGAAGCTCCTTTAACCCAAAAGCATCTTTGGCCAAGATGACCGCACAATCCATTAAAGCCCTTATGAACCCGAGTTAGAGATGATCAGCGATCAACACCTGCTTCCTAACATCAGCAGCTCAGAGCAGCTGAACTCACCTGAGACTGTAGGAATCACCAATACATATGAGTTCATGTGTTCAGTCTTCATTTCATGTCCCTCCAGTTTTTATGAACAGCAAAGTTTATGAACTGTTTGGGAAATTGAAGCGCACGTGACTCCAGATTCACCACCGAGCCTCTCGCGCCGCTCAAACCCAGAGTTTGTTTTTTGCGTATTTTTTGTGAAAATGTCATAACCCCCCCACTGAAGCAGAGATTCATCCTACTCAGCTGAGTCTGAGTCGCCAGCAGCAGGATCCTCATGTGCGTCTGCAAAGTTGTTGTGAACTTGTTAGTTATGCCTCTCTGCAGCCGGCTTCTTTATGCAGAAGTTGTTCTGGTTCAGAGCACTGAGGAAACAGCTCTGTGGCCACCGCTGTTATTCCAGCACCAACATTCCCCTGCTTCAGAGTGCTGCTAGCATCTACTAATAACCAGTGAGTGAAAACACATCCGTGTGGAGGAGGGGGACGTGACACATAAAAGCACCAGCAGGACACAAACCAACGTCTCCGGCATGTAAACCTGCAGCTTGACCGCATTTATGTGACTAACATGTGACTATTATCTGTTAGAAGACAGCATTGCTGCAGCTGCTGCATAAGAACATCAGCTTGATGGGCAGAAACCTGTTACGACTCGTCTGAATAACGTCTCAGTGAGTGGCCACGTTGCAATCTACACTGTGAGGGTGTCTTTCTTTGGATCCAGACAAATGTCTGTAACGTGTTTGCCGTCGGGCATCTCTGCTGATGAAACTGAGCTGTGAAGCTTCTCTCACAGGAGTCGGGGAAAGGAACGTATTCAAAGTGCAACAGAGCAAAGAGCAGAATTGGTTTTATTGTAAAATTAAATCCCAACTTTAAAAGGCACATTTTTGTGGGGCGTTGTTCCAGGCAGAGAGGCCCAGGTGTTCGTCTCGTCCTGGTCACACACCTGAACCACGTCAACAAAGTAGCAGCTTTACTCCGAGTCGCTCCGTAATGAAGGATCACCTTGTGTCTAAGGGAGAGGCGTCGCGTCAAAGAAGCTTGTTTCCACCACCTGCGTCCATTAAACTGTTCTTTCTGTCACTACTCAGAGATCGTGGCACAGGTGGTAAATCGACAGCTTCTCATTAACTTCTCACCAGCACAGCGGAGCGGTGCAGCGTTTATATCACACCTGACGCCACATCAAACCTGCTGTCAGTTCCCTTCACCTGTGAACAGGACGCCGAGACACCTAAACGCTGGTCCAGGGTGGGTCCACATCACCCACCTCAGACTGGAGGGTGCTAATTCTCCTTCACCCCACTTCACAGGCTCATTTAACTGCCCCAGTGTGAGGTGGGGGTCACCACCCCAAAGCCCAAAGAATGACATCATGAGCAGATAAGATTTCCTTCAACATCTTCAGAGTCATTTTGTTGGTTTGTCCTCTTCACACCATGATGCGCGCTCTATCCTGGTTTCTGCAACTGTACCTGTAGAAAAGCAAGCCTAACCTCTCAGATGGACCGTTCATTGTAACCGAGGCGTTGATCGCCTTTCTTCTTTTTCTGTTTCAGGACGAGAAGAACCAGGTGCTGACCACCAACATCTGGCTACAGCTGGTGAGTTTTCTTTCTGGTAAAAGATTAAGATGATCGTAGAAAAGGGTCCAGACGGTTCTTACACCAACTGTAAACATTCGTTTTCACAGCTTCAACCCACTGACTGTATAAAGATGCACATGAATATTACATCTGTTAATGTTGTTCTGAGCTCGTGCTTGTGGTGCTCAGGTGAGCCGCCTTTACCTGTCAGGCACGCTGGAAACATCAGCGGTTTCCAGGAGACGTAGTTTCGAGTCTTTTTCCTCTTTTCTGTCTTTTTTATATGTTTTTACATTTGCAGCCGAGGCTGAGCGCGTTCTACGCCTCAGTGAGAATCCGTGTATTTCCCAACATGTCAAACTTTATCTTGAGGGTATGTTTGTGCCAGCTTTGACATTTAGAAATGGACGTCCCTTTTTGGGGGGAGTTTAGTGTAATGATCCATAACTCACTGCCGGAGGATTAGTTCAAGATATGAGCTAGCCCTCCACCCAGCCTCCCCCTGCCGTCACCTGCAGAGAGTTAACGCAGGGTGTCCGCCAGCCGTCGCAGGCGGGAGTATCGGTGGCAGTCGGGATGGCGAGCAAACTGACTGTTGGCAAAATAAAGCGAGCAAACACTGACGATGAGTAAAAGCCTGCAGCCACGCCGCCCCATCCTTCCACAGAGGATGAACTCCAGCTCTGCCACTTGACCCAGATACAGTGAGTTTGCTGTGATGGAGAAAAACTCTAAAAAGCAGCGCCAGCGCCGCCTCTCTGTCTCCAAGAATGCTCCGTGAGCCTCGCCACCTCCTGCTCTTTGACGCTTTACATCTTCTCCGTTCGCTTTGAGCCGGTCTCGCTCGGAGGAAAGCCAGTTTTCTTTGTTTTCCTCGGGCAGGGCTGACTCTGGTGTGAATGTCAAAGCTAATGGCGAGCGCAGGAATCCATTAAGAGAGCTCCTTAAGCCCATTTCACACAGCTGTCCAAATTTAATTAGGTTTCATATCAGGGCCTGTGGAATGTGCGTTTGTACGGTGGCGCTGCACTAATCCGGCCTAATCTGCTCCTCTCGGATGGAAAGGTTGGTTCCTCCCCAGAGGCTCTCCCAGGACCAATGACTGTTTTGGCTTAATTTAATTTGGCTTCAGCTCCTCTTCCTCCTCCTCTGCTGCTGCTGGAGTCATTGTTCAGGGTTTTATTGTGAAGGGGAAGAATGTCTTTAAGCGAGGAGAAACATTTCTGCAGCCGGAGCTGGTAGGCTTTTTAATGTCAGTGTTCCTGCAGCTTTTGTTCGTTTCCTCCTGGCAGACGAGAAACTTTGACTCACCGTGAGAGTAAAAACTGCCTCCTGGATCACATTTCTTCCTTCAGGGGCTCGGAAAGAGCTTTCACGTTTATTCTGCAATGATTTTGTTGAGCATTCGTCTCATTTACAAGCTGTTTGTACCCAGACGCACAGACTCAGAGCAGCATAAAGGAGCGTAAACACAGAAAAATGACGCTGTACTTTAACTGTTACTCCACTTAAAATGATTTTTCATTAATGAACAAAGCAAATGAGCAGTGAGGATATTTACCGCCTTAAACACATTAGCTGTGATGGTCTTTGGCCCTCAGGTTAAAGTTTTGGTTTTGAGATTTATCTTCAGCTCCAGTATTTTTTATACTTTTTAGCCCTCAGCCATGAAAGGCTGCTGGAGGGTCGAGAGCAGCAGACGCTGTAGAGCACAGAGTTTGAATATCAGTGACCTCAAGGTCAAAGTCAGAGGTGCAAATGTAGACACTAAAGAGTCACAAACCCAGGGCACAGAGATGTTACAGGTCTAATCAGAAAGACTTTATTCCTCGAAGGGGAAAGCAGGAATGAAACAAACCAAATAATAATGAATAAAATCGATGCACTAAAATCTCACACAGTCCTACGATTGTCCTACGACCTACAACAAAGCGGTTAAAGACAGGAGAGGAATTCCTCTTCCAGAGCGGGGATCAGCTTAGTCCCAGGAGGACGAGGAGAAGCCTCCCGTCTCGTCCCTCCACCTTGCACTCCGCAATCGGTCCCTCGCTCGCTGCCATCACCTCTTCCCTCGTGTTATCGCCCTGACAACAGACAGATTCTGGCTAGAACCATCGCTTGGGAAGCTGGCCTGGCTAATAGCCATGCCGACCCTCAACACGGTTGCTCCCGGCAAACAACAGTGGAGACAGCCGTACTCGATCACGCATGGTTCTCCCCGCTGGTCGCCATCTCTGTCGCTGGAAACTGGGACGCTGGTATTTTGTTATTTCCTGGGTGATCAGCCTTAATGATCGCGTTGACTTCCACGCCTCTGTCCTGCGTTTGGGTCTGAACGTCCTCTGGGATTAATGACACACACAGCCACATGACATCAGTTAGTTTCCACAATGAATGCAACAATGTAACACGCAGGTATTTAGTCCAGACTCTGATGACTGTCATGACATCACTGCATCAAAATGACTGATGAGGATAAAAATGTTTAGAGTTGATTCAATATTCAGGGCAAAAAAAGTAAAAGTTGTTATCATAAGTGTGCATTCACATGCTGCCCTGTGATTGGTTGATTAGCTACTCGTGTTAATAAGCGTCTGGACCTAATGAAGTGGCCAGCGAGTGTAATAAACATGAAATTCTTCTTCTTCTTGTAATAAAATAACAGCAGCTCGAAGTTAAACCATTAAAATAAAATATCTAAAATATTGTATTTACCTCACGATTTTACTGCTTTACTGCTTACATCCGCCTGTGGTGACGACAGGATCATCTTCAGCTCTTCAGCAGCTTTTACATGTTTAGTCGTGTTGAAACAAATAATTAAAGTGTTTGGAGAGGTCTTATAATAATCAGCGGCTCTTTCAGAGTTCCAGAGTCTCCCTGAAATCTTCCAGAATAAAAGCGGTGATATCCGGCCTTGTCTCTGAGCTGCTGCATTTCTCTCTTTCTTTCTGAACCTTATCTCGTGGATCAGTCGGCCTCTCCCTTTGTACTGTGCAGGTTTCTGTTGGTCTTATGCAGCTCTGACTTGTGAAGCTTTGGAGGCTTTGAACATCCTCCCTGCTCATTGAAATTACCTGTGAGCTCTCAGAATCAAACCGGCTTCCTCGGCGTGTTCTGAAGTTTCTCACATGTTGTAGTCTCAGTGGTTTCCATGCTAATGCTAACGGAGCGAGGAGTTAATGTTGTGTTTTATTACGTATTTCAGCAAACCTCACGGAGTCAACATATTCCTCCTGAAAGCTAAGAAGTAAAACGTCATCCCAACTCTTTTAATATTTCAACAGTCGCAAGAATTGAATATGTGAAATGAAAACTGAAGGCCTTTGGATGAAAGCGCTCTGATCTAAATCACCAAATCTCTCAAACTGGAAAATTAATTGGATTAATCTTAATATTTAATTAGTAAAAAATAAAATATTTAGGCTTCTCTGTTTGCTCCGTACGTCTCAAAAACAGGCTGAAAATCACCTTTAAGCTTTGCTGCTTTACACGCTCGTGCGTCTGTGACGCTTTGACCCAGTTTCTCCAGCTTTGCTGACAGTTACAGTCGAGCAGCACGGTGCACTGAGGGACGGTTCATCCAGGTGCACATTCAGGTGTTCACAAGCAAAGCAGCAGCTCTGCATTACTGATGGCTTCCATTACAACAGCTGGCCTGTGTTACCTTTGTAAGGGATCATGTGTAATCAGAGTAAATGATGGAGAATAAATCAGTAAACGATACACAGCACAAGATGTACTGGCTGGTTTACCAAAACATTTCTTATAACTTTAACTGAAACCAGCTAATTGTTTCTAATTTGTGATGGAGCAGTTTTACAAAGTCTAATGCGGGAGGCTAACGTCGTTTAGCTAGCCTCCTGCATTATTTGGTCACGTTATTTACTTATAACTAAATAAGTATCAACTTTACATAAATGTATCTACTGCTCTCACCTGAAACAGTAAAACAGCAGCTCTGGGTTAATGATGGCTTCCATTACAATAGCTGGCCTGCGTTTCTTTGTGCCGCTGCCACCTACTGGTGAAACTAAATATCACTTTAACACCACATCAGATGGGAGCAAACGAGCTGTTTGCGCTGTGCTAAATGTAATGATGTAAACTACTGTCATAACAAAAGCAAAACGAGGGGAGCACGACCACATTCAAAGAACAAGAATTCTCAGCCTTGTTTTTAACACTCAGGGTGACACAGTACCAAACCCCATTATCCAAACTCTCGGCATCACTTAACAGCGGATAAAAGAGCTGAGATCCGCAGCTTTGTTGTTGGTGTGAATGTAATAATCCAGCTGTGATCCCTGATAATGCTGAGTAATTACAGAGTGAGAAGAGAGCCCGTTTTACACCATGACACGGTTGGAAATGTGTATTTGGTGAAGTCTAACTGTTAGTGACACACTTTTATTGATCTGTCAGATGAACAATTCTGCAGTGATGCAGCAGTAACTGAGCCTGTGGGCGTTTACGCGCCATCAGTGCGTCCAACCAGTGAGGCTGCTTTACTCTGACGTGATGCTTACAAAATAAGTGATGACATGTCTTTGACAGACGCGATGATGAAAGGACATTAATGGTAATGGAGTGACACTTTTATGTTTCTTGTGTCATAACTTAAAAGTTATTATATGCACAGCGTCACGTTTTTGTCAAACATCAGATGCGCCCTGCATTTTTTACAAAAGTCAGAGGCTTTTTGAGGGGAAATATCTCTGCAACAGTTCAGCTCTCAGTGGAGTCCTCCGGGAAAAACATTTCAACTCAGTGACAGGAAGTAAACAAGATGAAGAGGGATGTGCGACTTTCAGTCACCACAGCCTCAAACCGTCAGCACGGACCACAGAACTCGGAGAAGCTCGGAGACGTAACGAGGGCCGAGCCTGCCGGGGAGCCAAGTATGCAAATGAGGCGATTCTTGGCGGGGCTCCGTCCTCTCAAACACCCGGAGCTAACAATGGCTGTTACATAAGATCCATCAATGTAATCTGGATTTCACCAGCTGAGATTTGGAGGTCAGGCAAACAGGAGCCAGCTGCTGCTCATCACACAGAAGAATCACATCTGTGTGATTTTACTGTTAGCCCATCATTTATGCAGGTTTCACAGAAATACAGTGAATTTGTGGAAAACCGTGTTTATTTTTATTTGAACTAATTTGCATTTTTCTGTGTAATTTTGAGTACGTATTATGTTAAGACATGCTTTTATTTTATTGATTTATTTATTTTCTCCCCCTTTTAATCTGCAATGGTTCAGTCCAGAATCTATTTGGGCTGTGGCTCAACCAATTAGCTGTCACCACCTCAACTGGTCAGCTGGTTTATTTGTGAAGGTGTGATTGGTCCATGTGTATTTTTTTTCTGTTTGCTGTTTTTTATTTAAAGATGCCGAAACGCGTCGGTCACTTAATAAATCTGTTCCCGGTTACTTTAAGCATCGGTGGAGTGTTCATGTCATCAAATGTTTACATACAAGTTTTTTTTAAGAAAGACCCAAAAACAGGACACATTAGCCAACAACATAAATATTATTTAAACCCAAACAAACAGGTTATAAACCTGGAGGATTAAAAGCAAGAGTGTACACGTTAGCTCAGCTGAAAAACACGAACGATCCGTTCGGCTCTGAGCAGAAATGTTGACCTAAAATAATATTATTGCAAAGCTGCTCCGTTCTTCAGCATGGAAACCAACACGTGTTAATGTTAGCATCATCATACTGGAGCCTTTTATGGTAATATGGCAGGAAAACTATAATACTGGCTATTGAAGGGGGCTAAAAATAACTGCTGTTGACGTGGATGACCTTCATGTGAAGTCTGACAATCACAGTGTCGAGATCCTGCTTTGTAACTCACTGAATGCACAGAGCGCCAAATAAAGTCTGCGACTCCACACAAACACATGTGGGTACGAGGTGGGTCGGTCCATTGGTAACATGGGGTTTTTGTATGCGTGTTTGCAGTACTGGACAGATTTCTACCTGCAGTGGAACACGTCCGACTATCCAGGCGTGACCAACGTCAGGTTCCCCGACAGCCAGATCTGGAGGCCCGACATCCTGCTGTACAACAGGTACCTGTGTGCTGCGGGAGAGCAGCCGAACCACTCGGTAACGGAGCCGGGAAGAGATTACTCCATCTTTGTTCTAAATGTATCCCAGTGTGTTAGCTGCACAGCTGATAACCTCTAACCCGATCTTTAGAGCAGGACGTACAGACTAAAGTTTCCTGGTGTAGCTGCCCCAAGTATGAAAAATGTCAGAACGGAGATGGAGCGTCACGATCGTTCGTCTTCTGGTTGATCTGCAAAGTTTCTGAAAGAAATCAATAAACCAGAAATCAGTTTGTCTCCTGGTGGAAGCCAAAGACATCTCTCAGTTTGAGGTTTTATTTCTTTGTTGCCGAGTCAGCCATCCTGTTATAGATGCTAAAGTTAGGCTCTCTCCTGTAAGCATGAACACCTCGCTGTTAACATCGGGGCTGTGGGAGGCTCTCTGCTGGTGGCGCTTCAGCTCATTAACCGAGCTGCAAAGTTTGATCCTTGGAAGTGGAGGGGGTGGGTGGTTGTCAGAGGGAATATTGACCCGGCTGGTTTTAATGAGGCAGACCCAGCTCACAGGACCAGAGCCTGACGGTGAATGATTATCAGCCAGTGGGTTCACTTTTACAGCAAACTTCCTGTCTGCCATTTCTGTTGGATGAGACCTTATAACATTTAGCTTTGCATCGCTGTACTTCAGTCTTATTACATGTTGGCTGGACACATTCATTGATACCAATACATCTGCATCTGAGCTTTTATTGGCAGATGGCTCCAGTTCTATGGGCAGAAATCTGTGCCATCAGAAACTGAATTTGAATAAGTTCGATTTGAATTTGAATTGCTCAGATTGAATCTGAATTGTAACTTGAATAAATGCTTTTGAAAACTGAATTTGAATTAGTCTAATTTGAAATTGAATTTTATATTTTGAAAATGAATTGATTTGCTTTGAAACTGCATTTTATCCTTTAAAAATTCAGCTCTCGAATAATTTCAATTTCAGTTCCAAAATTCAGTTTTTTGGAACTTACATCCGGTTCCAGTTCAAGCGCAGATTAATAGAACTACGTTTTACTAGCGGACTGAAAGTGTTACTGACGGGAATCTACAGCGTCTTGAGCTGAATTAAGACTTCAGAAGTCATTCGTCATGTCGAATGACCAGCGGATAAACTCTCAGGTTGGTAAATGTATTACATGTATAAGAACAAGCGTCATGTTAACAAATGATAGCCGTACGGTAACTTTTATGCTTATTGTAGCTGTTAGCTAAAAACGGTAATTTAGCGTAGTTTGCCCTGAATTCAGCTTTGACAACAAATATGATCGACTGTTTCTAGTAGAATTCCAAAGTTGTCATCTTGGACCCTCTCAGAGTACCCCCTCTGTATGCTTGCAGAGACCCCTACAGTAGGGAAACATGCAAAACGGTGTCCAAACCTTTGTGTTTTAGCTTTATTTATGCCTTACACAGCATCCCAACTCTTTAGCTAACTTAATAACTTTAGCTAAAGTGAATAGTTAGTCTAATTCATTAGTGCAGCATTACTGGATTTGGCCAAATTTGGCCCGCGAAGCCATACCAAATTACTATCAGAGCTGGCCTACTGGTATTATACAGCTAATATATATATATTGTTTAGTATTAAGCTTTGCTTGTTCCATATTCAGTTTTTCAGCAAAACTTGTTTGAGTCCATAAGAAAAGTTTCATTCTTATATCTGGAGGAAGATTTTTTTTTTTCTTCAATAAATATTAATGTTAGCCCACGACTTTGTTCCAGTTTTGAATTTTGGCCCACTGTGTATTTGAGTTTGACACCGCTGGTTCACAGCATCCTGCCATGCGATTGCATTTGTCTCTAACCATCAGGAACCCTCACGTTAACTTTTATCCAGTGGAAAAAAGTTAGCGTTCATCCTCCAGCTTCACTGTGCTAATGTTATGCTAACATAGCTGTGTCGCTAGCGATCACGTAGCACATCATTATATACCAGCTAGCCCAACTTCAGTAACCCTACAAACGTCACTGCTGTTTAGTTTCCTGTCTTCATTTATGTTGGAAGTGATAGCAGAGCTGTACGTTTGAATTCATAAATCTCTCAGTCAGAACATGCTATATCATGTTTAGATAGAAGCTAGCGAGTTAACTTCCTGCTAACTTCTAACTCTGTTAAACTTCATAAATCCTGTTTTCATGGATGCCTGGATGTTAAACTTAATTGTTACACCTGGTAAAGCAGCAACGCGGATATTGGACAAGCCTGATCCAAGCCGGCTCCACGCCCCGACTTGTATTCAACTGTTCCTGAAACACTGGACAGTCCACGAGGCCCACGTCCACGCCCCTGTGGGTCAGGAGTGTTTTGGGTTATGAGCAGGACCTACACAATTTAGGCAGGTGGTTTATTGTTGTGGTTGATTGGTTTATACTACCAGCATGTTCTATGTCTGCTCTGGGCTCTCCCTTCAATTAGTTCCAACAATAAAACCTCCACAGAAGGCCCTGAAAGATTTCTCTCTTCAGCCGTCAGAGCCGTCCCGGTGAGCTTCTCTCGCCGCCGAGGAACAGCTGACATGTTTGGAGCTTCTTCCCAGAGTCTGAGCTCCTTGTGGGCTGAGCTCTGATGAACACAGAGTGACAAGGAAGGACATTTAACAAGAGGAGTTTTGTAAACAAAACATTAAAAAGGAGAAAGTTCTGAAGCAATAAAGTCATTTAATAATAATATTTTTCAGCTCATAAGCATCACTGCAGGTAAAATGAACCCTGACGACGTCTGTAAGAATTAGTGGACATTATTTAAATATTAATTTTATTCGATGGAGATGTGGTTTGTTTCAGTGAAGAGTTTCTAATGAAGGTCAGAGGTATAAATACACAGCTCTGTGTGTCCGAGGCTGCACGTGTACAGAACACGTGTGTGCGCGTTCGGCTGTCGTCTTGATGAAACTATGATTTGCTCAACGCTCATGGCTGCTGACGGACCCTGACTGTGGATCTGTCTCTGCCCACAGCGCTGATGAAAGGTTCGATGCTTCATTCCACACCAACATCCTGGTCAACTCCACAGGCTACTGCCAGTACCTGCCACCAGGTAACACACACAAGCCCCTCCCATCAACAACAACTACACAGTCCTGAATTCACCTGTAATCACAGCTGTTTAACATTAACAGGAGTTTGTGGTTCTACTTATTCAATGATGCTGAAGTGACTACAGATTTATAAAAAGCTTCTCCATCCATCTAATTTCATAATTCAGGGTGAATATTTTTAATAAAAATAAAATGCATCCCTTTGTTTCAGAGTCTTTCACTGTTGTTCACAGTGTGATGGTGGAAGCAGCAGGACGTCACAAAGACTGGATTTTCAATTTTAAATCCGATGTTTGATTCAGATAATTAAACTCTGGACATCAAAGTGTGAATAGGCTGTGAAAAGCATTTTTATCAAAGTGTGTGTGTGTGTGTGTGTGTGTGTGTGTGTGTGTGTGTGTGTGTGTGTGTGTGTGTTGGTGGGGGCTTCAACATGAGGTCCCGAGGTCATCTGGAGGAGTTATGGTCGTGATTCACAGCCCGAGACTCACGTTGTCTTTTAGCGCGGCGCTGATTGAAAGATGATTCTGGGATGTTTGTCCCTGTTTTTAAATTGATTCAGTCACAAAGAGCACCGTGAAATGAGAAAAACTGATGCTTTACAGTAAAAGACAAACAATATGCATCTGCAAATGATTCAAAGCTGAACTGTAATGATCCAGAAGCAGAAAGGAAAGCCATCGTCCAATCAGAAATCAGTAACAGCTGTTTGGAGACCACAGTCCTGCTGGAGTGTCCTGGAGCAAACCTCCAGGATTACAATGTGAAACTAAAATTTGAGAAGAACTTGCGGGCAGTCCTCCTGCTTCGTTCCATCCACTTGGTCTAATGTAGCAGTGAAGCAGCGCGATGCTCCCACCAGCATGCCTGACAGCTGTTATGCTGGTCTCGGGTTTGACAGCCTCACCTTTACTCCTCCAATCAAACCTCTTGTTACTGTGGACGTGTGACTCAAACTTGAGAAATTAAAAACCTTTCAGAGCACCTTCAGCTCCAGCCTGCTGCCCTATAAAATAATCGAATCCATATTTGCCCCCGTGTTTTACCCCGGGTCTCAACCTCAGGTGTTCTGTATATTTAATGGTGTTTCTTCCTCGCTGTAGGCGTCAGCTCATGCTGCGGCGGCGTCCTGATTCCTCCCCGGGATCATTAAACATTCATCTTTTTTCCAGCTCATCCACGCGGAGTTAATGCAAAGCAAACAGCTGCGATGTGATTCTCCGAGGGAGGCTGCGCTCCTTTTCCTGTTTACATGAGAAATAACTTCCTTTTATTGCTTTCAGGTCTCTGCATCTGTAAAATCAATCAGTGGGTGAGGTTTGTCTTCACAGCTTGTCTTCTCTGTGACGGCGTCTGCGCTCACATGTGCTGCTTTCTGTTTGCCGTCTCTGTTGTTCCTGCGTTTCCCTCTTTGACCGGAGACCTCGTTGCTGCTTTGTGTGATTTGAAATAGATTTTGTGTCAAATACAAACTGTAATCTCAGCTGTGCTCACCGTCCCCCTCTTCCTTTTCCCTCGAGCACAGTAACAGCTGTCCTGTCAAGTCTTCTTCTTGTTTTTTTCCACCTTTGACTGAAGCTTGTTTTAACAGCACTCGTCTGAATGTCCGTCTCTGCTTCAGGAATATTTAAGAGCACCTGTTACATCGACGTCCGCTGGTTTCCCTTTGACGTGCAGCGCTGTGACCTCAAGTTTGGCTCGTGGACGTACGGCGGCTGGTCTCTGGACCTGCAGATGATTGAGGCTGACATCACCGGATACATCGCCAACGGAGAGTGGGACCTCGTGGGTAAGACACATCGGCATCTTCACACATGTAGAACAACAACGCTCGCGTGGCTTTGGATGCCGTCTGTCTCGGGTCCAGCTCCCGTCAGACCAAACCTAAAGCAGACTAACAAAGACCCGTCCTGTCCTGATAGACGTCTGCTGATATGTTTCCCCATCAGGCCTCTTTGATCAGGACTGCATGCACGAATCTAAGGTAATAGTAAAAGATGAGCTGGATGGAGGAAGAGCAAACAGCCTCGGTCCTGATCTAACCTGCAGCAGCTGGAGGATAAAACTTTTTGAGCTCATTTCACGGCAGGATTCCCACTGAGACAGTGAGCAGCAGCAGGTTCGGGGCAACGCAGACAAGTTGTTTTAATTAGTTTACATCCAGGATCTTCCTCCTGCCAGCGACAGCGTGTCTCCACCGGCTGTCTGCTGCGGAGGAACAGGGTTTCATATCGGCGCTCCCATCCAGCATTAACGCGTTGGTAATTAAATCCTCCTCCGAGCGCGGCGGCCTGAAGGGCAGGCAGCTCGATGACCCTGAAGCAGAGCCTCCGTTGTAATTGGCTCATTTTTATAACGCACAATACTCACAACACACCAGGTCACACATGAGCACTGATTGACATTGTATTATTTTATCCATCACTCTGCACGTGGGGAGTCCCGGTTCCTCCTGAACAGATGACACAGTTTCAGGTTTTAAGCTGCCTGATTGCCTGCGTGCTGCAGAGCGCTCAGGATCACCCGAGCAGCTCTGGAGGTTTACAAATCCATGTCTTTGTCTCGCCTGCAGCCTCCTCCTGCTGCCTCTTTGATCCGTACACAAAGCATTCCAAGGAAAACCAAGGAAGAGGCCGAGAAGTTGTGTGAAGTTCTTTAGTTTCAGATCCAAAGCTCCAGTCTGTTGAATATTGTGACTCACATGATATTTGACCAAACGCTTCATGTCCTGCTTGGACTCTGAGGCGTGCAGACGCCTTCCAGCACAGCTCCTGTTTTTAGGTGCTTGTACTTCTCCAGTGGGTGAGCAGGAGTCCCTCTTTAATTCACAGCGTTGTGTGAACATGTGGGACAAAGAAAACAGGATCACAGTTTTTGAAAGTCACCACAGCCAGCGGAGAACGGTCGATGGGTCACATGAGGTGGAAATCTGCAGGTCTTTGCAGATTTTTGTGAAATGCAGTAAAATAATTACCATAAATGAGAGAAAAGCAGCTACAGTGAAGAGCAGGAACCTTCTAGTAACCGCAGTGTGATGCTCAGAGAGCTCCTTGGTGTTTCAGGACATCTGCAGCTCAGCTGGACTCATTTCTACTGAAGACAACTGATTACAAAGCATCAGCTCCAACAAAAGGTAACAGTTTTAAAGGTTATTGGGGGAAGGCGGGGCTTCCTCTAGTGTACGTTGAAATAAAACGCGTCCTTCAGGTGTTCGGAGCATCAGCCAGGTTTAACGTCAGGGTTTGTTATGTGTTTCTGAATCTCTCTGAAGTATTAGATGGAGACAATAACTGTCTCAGCAGCAGCTTTACTCTCTGCACGCCTCAACAACAACAAAAACACTTCCTGTTTACGGCCCTCATGGTACTTCACTGCCCAATCAGAAGCCTGGAAATCCTATACTCGGATTCAATTCAATTTTATATACTGTAGCACCAAATCACAACAAAAGTCGCCTCAAGGCGCTTCATAGATACAGAGAAAAACCCAACAATCATATGACCCCCTATGAGCAGCACTTTGGGTCAGAGCAAACGTAGAAAAGGATCCTGGTGTTATTTGTCTCTCAGAAACAGTTCATAACTTCAACTCATCCATGTCACCTAAAAGGTAAACCTGTTTCTCCATCACAGCTCTGATGATCCAGTAAGGACATCTCCTGCTTTCATCTTCATGTTTCCCTCTCACCAGATATCCAAACCATATCATGACCAGCAGCTTTACAGCTGTGGCTCCAGCAAACATCAGCTGATGCTAGAAATTAATATTAAATAAATTCTAACAACAGCGACATCCGCTGGTTTCTGGCGCAAAGTGGGCGATAAACAAACAAGAGAGAAAAGCCGATCAGCTGATCATTGATCAGTTTCATGATTGAAGTAGCAACAGGAGAGAGAATGAAAGAAGAAGAGGCAGCTGTGCAGCAAAGACACAGAATAACTCCAGCTTTGTCTTTTTCATTGTAGCTGAATTACGGGACAAACTGTTCCTTTTCACCTCAATAAGAAACGCGTAATATTTTCTCTGAATACCAGACGATTCTGTTTTTTATGGGACGGTTGGAAACTCTAATACCTAACCTTATAAATAAAATAAGATAAAACAAGTTCAACATCAGTAACATCAAAGCACCACCCAGCTGTATATAAAATCCATCATGCTAGCTAGTACACAGTACGAGTTATTGTAACTGACTGTAAAAAGTCAGCACAACGAAAATAAACTCCACCTTAACTTGGTTTATATCTGACTAGGGATGGGTATCGTTTAGGTTTTATCCGATACCAGTACCAAACCGGTACTTTTGAAATGGTGCCGGTGCTTAAACGGAGCTCAAACCGGTGCTTAAAGAATGGAGAACACACACTTTGTCCAAAAACCTCTCATGTTCAGCTGTGTTTTTTGTAAAAAGACAACAATGTTAGCCTTTTCTGCAGCTATGGGGCATATATATGGGCAGAAATCTGTGCCATCAGAAACTGAATTTGAATAAGTTCAATTTGAATTTGAATAAGTTCAGATTGAATCTGAATTGTAACTTGAATAAATGCTTTTGAAAACTGAATTTGAATTAGTCTAATTTGAAATTGAATTTTATATTTTGAAAATGAATTGATTTGCTTTGAAACTGCATTTTATCCAAAGTTGTCATCTTGGACCCTCTCAGAGTACCCCCTCTGTATGCTTGCAGAGACCCCTACAGTAGGGAAACATGCAAAACGGTGTCCAAACCTTTGTGTTTTAGCTTTATTTATGTCTTACACAGCATCCCAACTCTTTAGCTAACTTAATAACTTTAGCTAAAGTGAATAGTTAGTCTAATTCATTAGTGCAGCATTACTGGATCACCTCTGTTTGAAGTGATATAATATGATATACAACTATCACTGTGTTTAACTACCATAATAATTCTTAGGGTACTGAGTGCATGCTTAATTAGATTTTTTTTTTTTTTTAAAGCATACTGCTCCATTACTATGTTTGACAGGCTGAAGTTGTCGGGTCACCTCCTAAATCGACCATCTTTTACAGGAGTTTTGTGCCAGAAATGGAGTGTCCACTGAAGACTGAAGATACTGAATCTCTACGCCTTGCCATTGATCCCTCTAGTGCCTTCATCTAGACAAGAGACATTAACTTAACCACTCTCATATGCTCTGTACCTACATCACCTTCCCTGACAGTCGTAGCTTGGCTCATCTGAGGGTGAAATTATAAGAATGTGTTATTTTGCAAAGTGCTCTCTAGGGTTCCTAAATAAAATATGGCATTGAGGTCATTTCTTTTGAATTAATCCCTTCTTCTGAAATATAAGAACCTCTTCTGGTTTTAATGGCACTTTGGATTTCCTTACTTTCTGTTCCACTTCCAAACCCAAATAGATGCTGACAAGCTGCCACAGTAACATGGAAGAGGGAAAGAAGTTGGAAAGGACTACTACAAATAAACCTAATGCCTAACAATGTAAAATAAGAACAACAATAATAATAAAGATAAAAGATGAAGTAACAAGTTTTTAGTTTTTTCCAAATGATCATCCAGATGTCTGTGACGTGATGACAAACACCACAATGGAAGGCCTTAGTCATCACATGCTTGAACTCATCATATATTTTTGCATATGCTGAACAGGCAGCCAGACATGCTGTAACTGTGGGGTAGAAAACAGCATAAACACCATACGGCAGGGGTCTCAAACTCCAGTCCTCGAGGGCATGGAAAAGTTGCATGACACTTTGACCCTTGAGGACTGGAGTTTGAGACCCCTGTCATATGGAATATGACAGGTGTGGTTGAACTGCATGAAGACTGAAGCTTCTCTTCTCTTCTGGCAGGACAGGAATGTGGCCTTGTCCTGTGAGCCACTGTAAGGATGTACTTAGAGTAGAACTGGACTGTCACCAGCCTCAGGCTCTTCACCCTTTTCAAAGACAAAGCAGTCATTTAGATAAAATATTAGATATTGTTTACCTGTAAATGCACAAAGAGAATTTAGAAATGTAATTATTGTCAAGAGTGAACAAGCACTGATAGTGTAATCTACAGCTGTGGCCAAACGTTTAGAGAATGAGAAGTGTTGTTTGCTTATTTACAAAGTTTGCTGTTTCAGTGATAGTTGTATATCATATTATATCACTTCAAACAGAGGTGATCCAGTAATGCTGCACTAATGAATTAGACTAACTGTTCCCTTTAGCTAAAGTTATTAAGTTAGCTAAAGAGTTGGGATGCTGTGTAAGACATAAATAAAGCTAAAATACAAAGGTTTGGGCAGTTTTGCATGTTTCCCTACTGTAGGGGTCTCTGCAAGCATACAGAGGGGGTACTCTGAGAGGGTCCAAGATGACAACTTTGGAATTCTACTAGAAACAGTCGATCATATTTGTTGTCAAAGCTGAATTCAGGGCAAACTACGCTAAATTAGCGTTTTTAGCTAACAGCTACAATAAGCATAAAAGTTACCGTACGGCTATCTTTTGTTAACATGACGCTTGTTCTTATACATGTAATACATTTATTACCAACCTGAGAGTTTATCCGCTGGTCATTCGACATGACGAATGACTTCTGAAGTCTTAATTCAGCTCAAGACGCTGTAGATTCCCGTCAGTAACACTTTCGGTCCGCTAGTAAAACGTAGTTCTATTAATCTGCGCTTGAACCGGAACCGGATGTAAGTTCCAAAAAACTGAATTTTGGAACTGAAACTGAAATTATTCGAGAGCTGAATTTTTAAAGGATAAAATGCAGTTTCAAAGCAAATCAATTCATTTTCAAAATATAAAATTC